AGAAATTTATCTGATGTTGGATCCAAGCAATTTTGGAATTATCGCGCAAAAGAACACAGCGAAGGAAGCATGGGGCAGCTTAATGGAAGCATACGAAGATAAGCATGGCGATCCTGCTTTAAATGAGCGACCATAAAGAGGGAACTTCTTGTGACGAGGAGTACATACCAGAACATATCGAGAAAAGCCACCCACAATATCCTGAGTACTCACCAACACCAAAGGAAGCCGGACCAAAGGCTATAACGCTTCAAGAGTACCGAAAGAGGCAACTTGTGCAAAAAGCTAAGTTAGCGGAATGCAGGCAACAAACTGCCGAATTCAAACCAAAAAAGCGGGGCGGCAGAAAGCGACAACATCAAAGGGAGTGTGCAAACCTACAAAGGATAATAGACATAAGTAAGGGTCAACAAAGAACAAAACTGATAAGCGAACTGAAACAACTGCGCAAAAATGGGTGGAACCCAAACAAAGGAAGAAATAGTAAACAACAACAACAACAACGCAGCAGCAGCAGCAGCGGCACAAGCTGGCAATCCAGCAGTAGGTGACTTTGCGAAAAACCTAGTATATATCAACACTTTCATTCTCGTAGTTTTACTACTAGCTAAGCTCAATACACACTATAAAAAATACATAAAAAAGCAAGCATATAGAAATGTTAACACAGTTTAAAATGTAAAACAAAGCACAATAAAAGAGAATAAATGGAATTCACAGTATTGGAAGAATTACTAAATAAACTAAAAAAAAGTCCTAATAGAACATATACCCAACAATACATAGATGCAACGCAAGCATCAATAGCGAATAGTTGAAAAACTATAGAGCAACACGCAAGCACTGAAAACTTGCCACAGCTTCGTGAAAAATTCCATGAACTAAAGACTAAAATAGAATCATATTTAGTCTTAAAAGAAGAAGCGATTGAGCGAAACACAAACAAATCAGAAACAATGGCAACTTTTGATCTGGTAACAGCTAATAAGATCGTTAAAACCTTCATTGGGGACTTTAAGGAACTCAACAATTTTCTAGGGCTAATTGAATTCTACCATGACACCCTTTCAAACGAGGCTAACAAGACGATTCTTGTTAAATTCGTTCTGGCCACAAAGTTGTCAGAGAATGTAAAAAACAAAATTCTGGCGGAAGAAACACCGAACAATCTGGAAGCACTAAAAGCAACACTAAAAAAGGTATTCCGATCAAACAAGACAGCGTCAGGAGTGCATGCAGAAATTGCTAAAAGTATACAGGGAGCTCAAACAACCCTCAACTTTGCTTCCCGCATCCAAAGCTTAATAGCTTCCCTAAACGAAATTCAAATAGCAGAGCAAGGAAGCGATCACCGAGAAATAATTGTTAAATTAAATGACCAAATTGGCCTAACAGCGTTTAAGAATGCCTTGAGGGAGCCATATAAAACAATAGTAAGAGCTGCTAGACCAAAACAGCTAACAGAAGCCATTCACATCGCGAGTGAAGCAACAGCTCAGCAAGTCCAGGCAAGCGCGTTCAAACCAAAGTTTGTCAATAACAACTTCAACAAGAACTATCGTACAAATAACCAAAGAAACAACCCGGGAAACAACAATACCAGGAACTATCAAAATAGGCAGTATGGTCAGGGAAACGGATACAGCCCGAGCCGTCAGGACTCGGGCCAACAAAACCAAAGACGATAGGATTCATTGGAGAAGGCAACTCCACAAATTTCATAAGAGCAAAAATAAGTACGAATATAGTAACACTATTGGTGGACTCTGGAGCTGATATATCTATAATAAAAAGAAAAGCAGTCCCAAAAACTCACGTAGAAACAACAGCAAATTGCAAAATAAGAGGCATCTCGAGTCACATACTGACTGCCAACAAGGCGGTTGAAATTGACATTAATTGTCAAGATTACAAAATCAAGACTAAATTTTATATCTTGGAACAAATAAACAACCTAGAAGCAGATGGAGTCCTGGGCAGGGACTTCCTAATAAATTACAGGTGCAAAATCGATTACGAAACGAAGGTGATAACTCTAGAGCTAAAGGAAGGTCAAATCACTCTACCCATGTATATGCGATCAGATGATTTCAAAACAGCTCGTGGCCTAGGCAACAGAATTTATTATTACAACAATAATAGGCGAAACAATGACAACAGGTTTATGAGGGTTAAAAATGAAATGCAATTAGACAACAAGGCAAGCACCACCAATGCAATTTTAGAAATCTGCGAAAAATACCAATATGCATTTCACATTGAGGAAGAAGTTCTAACTGTCAACAACTTCTATCAGCAACACATTGAGCTCGCAGATAAAACCCCCGCATATATAAAAAATTATAGAATGCCACACGTTCAGCTCCAGGTAATCGAAAAAGAAGTTGACAAATTACTGAAGGATGATGTTATCGAGCTCTCCACTAGTCCTTATAACTCACCTTTGCTAGTCGTACCAAAAAAGAGTAACACAGAAGAAAAGAAATGGAGGCTAGTGGTGGATTTTCGAGCATTAAACAAAAAAAATTGTTGATGATAAATTTCCCATAACTCGCTTAGATGACATTTTAGACAAACTCAAGGGAGCGCGGTATTTTAGCACATTAGATATGACAAGTTCATTCCACCAAATTCCGTTGGATCATGTTTCGAAGAAGCTCACAGCATTTTCTACCGGCAAAGGGCACTACCAGTTCAAAAGGCTACCATTTGGACTAAAAATCGCAACAAACAGTTTCCAGAGGATGTTATCAATTGCACTCAGCGGACTCAATCACGCAGCATTTCTTTATGTGGATGACGTAATAGTATTCGGGAAGAACCTTCAAGAGCATAATCGAAATTTAGAAAAAGTGTTAGCGAGATTGAACAAATACAACCTTAATCTAAATACGGAAAAATGCAAGTTTTTAAAAACAAAAGTAACCTACTTAGGACATCTGATCACTGATAAAGGAGTGACAACTGATCCCAGTAAACAGGAAGTCGTTAAAAACTATCCTAAACCAAAAAATGCGGATGAAGTTAGAAGCTTTGTAGCATTCTGTAATTACTACAGGCGATTTATAAAAAATTTTGCAGAAATTGCTCAACCACTCAACCAGCTGCTCAAGAAAAATCAACTGGAACAGCAAATGTGAGAAAGCCTTCTGTAATTTAAGAGACAAACTACTCTCCCCACCAATACTCTGTTATCCGGACTTCTCAAAGCGGTTCATACTCACAACAGATGCTTCTAACTTTGCGCTAGGAGCAGTACTATCACAGGGTGAAGTTGGAAGAGATAAACCTATTGCATATGCAAGCAGATCCCTAAACAAACATGAATTGAACAAACCAATAATAGAAAAGGAGCTATTGGCGATTCACTGGGGGATAAACCATTTTAGACCCTATCTGTACGGCACAAAATTTTCCGTATACACAGATCACAGACCACTGGTGAGCTTGTTCAAGCACAATAATCCGTCGTCCAAAATGACTAGAATAAGGGTCGATCTGATGGACTATGATTTTGACATAGTATATAAACAAGGAAAGATGAATACCAATGCTGATGCACTATCACGCATTCAGCTTGACATGGAAAAACTGAAAGAAATGATTCCGAAGCACGAAATTAACATAGTAACCAGGGCAATGAAGAAAGCACAAAGTTCAAACGCAAAAGAATACGAAAATTTAAGCCAAGGGCAAATAAAGTCACGGAATATGGGAGCTTCAAACACAAATATGCAGACTGATCACCTACATGTTTGGGAATGCACATCAATTTCTGATACACGACGAGTGAAAAGACTTGAATTCAGATATAGGAAGGATGAAAGCATGAAGCCTAAGGATATAAAAATTACAGTATCGAATAGAGACTTTATCATTGAATATAACGACCAAGCAGTGTCAAAAATAGACGCAATTTTACGTGAGCTATTAATCGAAGCCAGCAATATTGGCTCACGAAAGCTATCGCTTGCAAAGAATAGTGAAATCTTTGAGAAAATAAGTATAACTGAATTTAAAACTGTATTTAATAGGATACAAATGCAGAGAAATATTATTGAATGCCTTGATATAATGCTATTTGATGCGCCAAAAAGAATTGAGTCACAATCCGTAATGCAAAAATTAATAAGGGACTACCACAACTCAATTCATGGTGGCCACTGCGGTATAAGAAGAATGCTAGCAAAGCTCAAACAGAAATACGTGTGGAAGAACATGAGACAAATGATAATAAAGTATGTCAACAACTGCAAGCAATGCGCGACAGCAAAAGTAACACGATACACAAAAGAAAAATACAATATGACGGACACATCGGCGACGTCATTTGACGAAATCGTCGTCGATACAGTAGGTCCGCTACGCCCATCCAAACCTTTTCGATACATGCTAACGTTGCAATGTGAGTTAACGAAATATATTGTCATAATACCGCTTGAAACAAAAGATGCGGTAACCGTTGCAAAAGCTATTGTCGAGCAATTCATTTTAAGATATGGCTGTATGCGAAAAATAAAAACTGACAAGGGCACAGAATTTACTAATGAGCTGCTAAAAAATATATGTAAACAATTACAAATAAATAAAGTGCATTCAACTCCATTCCATCACGAGACATTGGGTTCAGTTGAACGAAATCACAGGGTGTTAAATGAATATTTGATGACACTCAAGAACACGGATAATTGGGACGAACTCATACCCTACTACATGTACTACTATAATTCGACACCACACATGTCCACGAAGTACTCCCCCTTTGAGCTTGTATTTGGCAAACTGTGTGCATTACCAAATGACATAGTGGCCGCTAAAGAAAAGGTGTATGATATAGACAATTATATGAATGAACTAAAACTGAAGCTTAAGCCCGTCGGCGATTTCAAGCATCCGTTGATGGTTACCCCAGCAACGAGTACATGTGTGAGTGTCGGGTTGCATGTCGGGTGCTTGAAGCTTGCCCGGCGACACTCAAGCATAGAGCGTCAACACCATTTGCAATAAAATTTCGTAGTGGGCGGACGTAAACATGTCTTCATCGGATGACGATTTTTTGCTACTTGCCACTGCAGTAGTTTTATTAGAAAAAAAGAAAAAAAAAAGAAAGACTAAAAAGAAAAAGTTGTGGATGAAAAGTTTATATACAACGTGCAAAGTTTACACACGAAAACCTTTTAAGCGAACTTAAAATATCATGCAAAGAGGAATATAAAAATTTTTTAAGAATGGATTCTGCTGCATTTGATGAACTTTTGTGCCTTATTACGCCATTAATTGAAAAAGAAGACACACAGCTACGAAAAGCAATAACACCCAGTATGCGATTGTCAGCCACATTACGATACTTAGCGACTGGACAAAAATTTGAGGACCTGAAGTTCTTAACAGCGATTTCTCCAAGATCCCTTGGGAGAATTGTTATTGAAACTTGTGAGGCTATTATTTCATGCCTCTCCAATTATATTAGGGTAAGTATATAAAAATGGTATTTCTTTCCTTTAGCACCCACCTACTAAAAAATTAGCTAAAATTATGGGGAGGGCTTAAAAAAGCGCTTCCGGATTCGTGATCCTCAGGCAAAAACACGCATTTAAAAAAAAAAATCATAATTTTAGCTAATTTTTTAGCAGGTGGGTGCTAAAGGAAAGAAATACCATAAAAATAAACAACAAATCTAGTTTGCGACAGGTGAATATTACACAAATTGGGTTACAATAACAGTGCACTCGCGATAATTAGAACTAATTAAAACCAGGCCAGCATCCAACTGATTGTTTCTTGCAAACCCCCATAGTTAAATAATGATTTTCACATTTTGTTAAATAACATTTTATTCAATTCAAAAATAAATATTAAAATAAAAGTACAGTTCTTTGTCAAACTATAATACTACTTTCAACTGCTAC